ATTTAGTTATCTTCTTAGCTTTAACATTTGCAAGAAATAAATTTCACAATTTTCTTTAAGACAATGAGACGGGCCAAATCGCTTCTTCTCTTGTGCGCTGCGAAAATTTAGAAGGAAAACAATGGAAGCTTTGGGACAATCTTGTCACGACGTTGTGCGGATCTCACTACCAAACATGCCACGCCGCGCAGCAACTTTGACATTTTGACCTCATCGCTCACCGACTCAAGCACCTTACCGCTGTCTGACTTAGATTAAAAACACAGATTATTTCTACTAAACATTTAAGCAAATAAAATTTTCTATATTTTATGCTCAGGCTAAAGATATTTTTAAAAAATATTTCAGTTTTTCAGTTTTACACGAATTGATTGCAAAAATTAAGGAGACTACAACGCCCTCTTATTGGAGAACACATATGCTATATTTAGCTTTTAAATAAATGCTTTCAAAATTAATAGATACAAAGGTTTGAAAAAGTTTTATAAATAATTTTGTTGTCAAATTTTTTACAAAAAACATTTACATATAACATATCTGCACTGCAACGCAATACGTTGTTCTGGTGTTCCATTTTCTTTGCGTCTTGCTCATTTAATATCAAAGCTTAAATAGATAAGTTTGTTGCTTCGAATATTCACTAAATATTTCATTACTAAATGTTCATTACGTTGTTCTTCAATTTCATTTGGCTTAGATTTCTAGTTATATTTCTAATGTAATCTAAAATAAAAAAAAATATATATTACAAAACGGTATAACCTGAAAACATATAGTTGAACTACTTAAGACCAATCCTATCTCCGGGTTAGCAAATATAGAGATCTGGGGTTGATCGCAAGGCCAGCAACTCTGCATCGGAAAAATTTTATGCTACGCAACCCTTTTAAGGGAGGCCAAGGTTCATACTGGACTGTAGTGCCAAATAAGAAGAAGAATATCTTACAAAAATATTTTACATTCCGTATATCCCAAGAACTTCCATTCAAGCCGCTGAAGAAATCGGTATTTTCCTATGTATAGAAGGTCCTGTTTGCTTTGAAATGTTTATTATATTTTTATATTAAAGAGAAAATTGATTTCATTTTTATTATTTATTAAGATAATTGTTCATTTATTTTCTTACTGATTTAATATCTTATGAAGTCACTTAAAAACCTCATAAATTATTAAATATTTAAAAAGCAATACGAGCAATATGAATACTTAAAATATATTAGTTACAGCAAATATTTTAATTAACTATGCAATAATTAATGCGATTAGCGACAAAAACCCGTTTAAATGCGCTTCAAATGATAAGATGAAATAGGACTTGACATTTTACTTTTGTCATATAAGTTTGAGTATACAATTGATTAATTTTAAATAATATTTTTAGATAATAGGTAGTTTTTGCTACGATTTTGAAAATATCAATAAAACAACCAGATTACACAAAATGCAACTTATATTAATCATATATCTTTTACATTAAAATGTATATATTTTTAGGCAGGTTTACTCACAGGTCACTACATTTTAGGTAACCATGCTAGAAGATTGAGTCTCTCTTTAAATCATACCTACCACAGTTATGGAGACGACGATGAAAGTGTATTCCGTCCGCTTTGTACATGGGTTCAAATTTTTAGCTTTCTTTTAATTTGAAGTATTCCCCCATTTTAGGACTTATATATTTTGAAGCCAATATGGTAAAGTTGGCCCGCCCACTATACGGTATATATAGTATGTGTTTCTTATTTTATTATTGCTAAGTTTATTTTCGAAATTTAAATTAAACTTTATTAAGAAAATTAATATCCAAATAGTTTTTAAGTTTATATACTTTATATATATTTATTATATACTGTTGTTATCTACTAAAGTACTATTGAAAGGATTAGTTTAATAAGTGAAATAAAACAGCAAAATTATCAACAAAATAAAATAATACAAAATAAAAATAAATTAAAACCATATATATTTTAATTTGATAATGTGATTTTTTTCGAACAGTAGTCAACTACAACAACAAAAATTCATTTTATATTATTTTAATTAATTGAATTTTTTTAAATTTTATTAATCAAAAAGAACTATTTTTAGATTTTTCAAAGTTATGGAGTTGCTTTTAATTTTAAAATAATTCTTAAAATTCATTTAATTCAAATTTCCATGGAAGTGGGTTACTAGGTCAGCTTCGCATAAATTTGAACTAATCACGTAAATTTAGCAGCGGAAACTAAAAGTGACGTACAGAACAACTCCTTCCTCCCCTTTTTTAATTGTTAAGTAATATAATTCTATTTTCTATCATACAATATACATATACAAATATACAGATATATACATATATATATATGAACTTAAGTGTGAGCTTGATGCTAGCAAATTCATCTCAATAAATTTATATCTTAATCGTTAAGGTGTTGACTTTCATATGATGTTAAATGCATGGATGTACGAGTATGTATGGATGATATATACATATATGTATATTTTAATACTAAATTATTTACTTGCACTTTTATTCGCAGTTACCGGTTGCTACCGCTGCCAATGCAGCCGTCAACGATGCTGTTGGCGTTGCATTGCCTTTGTTAAACTATTAGAAAATCACAGCGTAGCATCTGCTGCTTTGGTATCTTCATGTGCAATGGCGTTGCAGTCGTATTTGCTGTGCATCTTAACAACTATTTTAGTGCTTTTTTAATATTATTTTTATAACTATTTTTTATTTACTATGCACTGCATTTGCAATACATTTTGTATAAATACCGCCAACAGCCGGTACACGAGATCATAGAAAAATCTTTTGTTCAATTAACAACTTCTTGGTTTGAAAAACGTCGCGAGAAGTGTATCTTATAGTCGAACTGCCAGCTCCAAGGATATCCTTAATTTCTGTGACCAACAAATAATTAAAAAAAAGTGTTCAAAATGAAAATTGTAAGTGGTAGAAGTGCTTTAAAAATATTTCAATTATATATATCTAATTTGATAATTATTTAAATAAATTCCATAAGTAATATCGAATAAACCGTTGAAAGGACAATTAAAAATAGTTGTTGAAACTAAAGTTCAAATAAGAGTTAATTAAAATGATAACGTAGTGGACATGATTGAAATAATAATAAAAGAGTATAATTAAAAATTTTTTATATATTTTAGCATATCATGCTATTAAAAACAAAGATTATTTTCAATAGTCATAATAAAAGTGTAGAACATTGTTATAAAATGTCTATAAAATAGTGTACTATGACATCGTTTACCCTCAACTGCAGCCTTGCTCTTCTCATATCGAATATATAAATGATATATGTTTTACTAGTAAATGCTGTTATTAAAATAATTTATAGATTTAATAGTTAATGCAAATTACTGTAACTAATTGCAGTTAATAAAACAAATGCTTATTAATAGTGCAAAAATTCTACATACTTATTACATTTTAAACTATAAAATAAGAGTTGTTGAATTTTAATCAAATTAAAAAATTCTTTTTACTTAAAGGATAATATATAACTTTTAACTTTTTATATTGTTTCTTAAGTTAAGTCAGTTTATATTATATTATCTTTCTTTTATGTCTACCTCTTCTACTTCCAAGGAATACGTTGTCCGTTTCGAACGTTTGCTGATATTATTCAACAAACGATAAATCTGATTTCTTCACATTTTCGAAAAGCGCAGTTCTTGCGCTTTTACCGAACCACAGATATAGCTTCCTAAGCTACACCATTACTCAACTTTCAAGACACATCATATCTTATTACGGGCGTCTATGAGCAATTTAAGTTTCTCATACTGTCCTGGATGCCTTACAATATAATCAATGTATTCTAGTTCTCTTTTTTTATATGTACTAAAGCTGCAAAAGCTAGATTGCAAAAGGTATATATATTAGTTTCATATATATTTGAAATAATTAACCTATCAAATGGATATTTTATTAGTCTAAATAGAATATATATACTTAGAATTGATCCGTCTGAGGCATATGTCATTGTTATATATTATTTTACTCATATATAGTTTGATTTTGGAAATATTTATCTTAAATATTTATCACTTATTAGTTAGAAACTATAGATGTAGAAAATATCGCTTTTACTTTTTATACGATACTATAACGCACCAAGCTATCGAAAAAGATTCTTAAGCTTATGGTTATAATATCTAAGCAACTTATTTCCCATCCAATATTTAAGTATCTAGAGAATACATAAAATTAATTTTCTTATTAGAGATATTCGAGGCCTATTAAAAATTTAATTTCCATACAAACCGTTACATTATCTTTTTTTTGACAAAATTAAGCAAATTTTTTTGCAGTAATTAAATAATTTATTCGTTTTCTGGTTTTTATGACCGATAATTACAATATTATTGTAATTTAATAGGCGGTACTTGCCCGTATATTAAATTATATACTCATATACATACATTTACTATTAAAAGTCAAATTATTACTTAATCTTAGATGTTTTGGTAATTTTTTTCACAGTTTAATTTATTTAATTAGACGGTCAGTTCCAAATTAATTTTATTAATTGTACATTTATTTTTTTATTCTATTTAAATAACCACAGAGATTCAGTTAAATGACTTTATACACGATTGAAAAATTTAATTTCAAGCACCTAAGTTATATATTAACTTTAAAATATATTCGAAGAGTTCGACGATAACGTCGATAAACCTTTGAAAGCTTAAAGAAACTAAAAGACAAATTATTTTTTTTTTGTAACAATCGAAAAGTCAAGTATATGGATCTTTCCATAGATATATGTAGAATATGCATTATTTTCTTAAAAAGTATATTGCATATTGTCAAAGCCCTGCAAATATCGTATTGAGTTCTATATTAGCTTTTCCCCTGTTTTGTAGTTTAATTAACTTAATTATGAAGATAAATATTTCTAATTTATTAAATTTATGTAATTGTTATTCCAAGTTATATTACTTTTTTCCTAAAAATTAAATAATTATAAATGTAATGTAAAAACACTCAAAAAATTTGGAATATGTAAACAATTCGCAACAAAAAAGTATTTTTAAAAAAAGTATAAAATATATTTCATACTGAAAATAAACTATTATTAACAATTCAGAATTCATATATACTATTCCACTATGGATACAAGCTTTTATTTAAGCTTAGCATATCCTTAATAGAGATATGATATTAATTAGAACATATTTCTATCTTTGTGTAGTAATATTTAGATCCATGCCAATGTATCTAATATTACTTAGCAGCTGACAAGCGAACTATCTATTATTCTACAATATTACTATAAGTTAGCATCCTTAATAGAGATATAATATTAATTAGAACATATTTATGTCTCTATGTACTAGTATTAAGGTCCATGCCAATATATCTAATATAACTTAATTAATTACAATAAGCTAGCATCATTAATAGAGATATGATATTAATTAGAACATATTTATGTCTCTATGTATTAGTATTAATGTGCATGCCAATATATCTAATATAACTTAGCAGGTGACAATCAAAATATCTATTATTCTACAATCGAAGAACTTTGCTTTACTGGTAGTCCAGAGATATACTATTTTCTATGCTTAAAAAAAAAATTAATACAAAGTAAAGTAAGAAACATTGTATGTTTAAATACCTTTTAGATTTTTTTTTATCATAAAATATACCTAATTAAATAATGAAATAGAAATTCACTCTAATACTCAGAATAACATATGCACTTTTTAAAATTGAAATCTTCATATTCATGTAATTTATATCTCATATGAATTACAAACGTTTGATATAAAGCAATTATTGCAATAATTAAACAAAATTAATCATTCAGATGTTGTATGTTGAAATTGATAATTATTACAAGATTAGTTCAACATTTATGGTACAGGCAATTAAATCTTTTAAAATTTGTACAAATTCACTTTAGATAAAATGTACTCAATTATTAAAATGTAGACATCAATGCTGACATAATTACGTACCTAAATCATTTCACATTATCTAACATAATAATAAATAGATAAAATAAGGTAAAGTCATTAAAGATATGTCAAAATTAAGTATTTCGTTTGAAAAACTGTACCAACTATAATGAGGCGATTTTAAAAGATTCAAAACTGTTTTTCTAAAAATCCTAACTTAAACACATCCAATTTAAATAGTTTCATTAGAAGATACAGAGCTTACATAATTTATTACTAAAACCAATTGTTAAAAAGCATTAAATTAACCAAAATTTGGCACACCTTAAATAAATTATCCAATAACAATCGAGTTTAAATAAAATTAAAAAAAATGGTTAAAACTAATTACCTACCTTAATGCTAACAATTAACAGATTTTGTCCCTTTAGCGGGCTTTGCTGTTTGAGATATTTTCGAAATAAATTTTAAATCTGTGCTAAGTTACTAGACTTGGCTTGAAATACTTGATTCACAACAACAACAAAGCAACTTGAATTAAACAATAAATGACACGCGAGTCCGAAAGGTCAACTACTTGATCAATGAGTTAGCACCAGTTGAATACTTTTCATTCAATGATAATTTTGCTATTTTTTAGAGTCTAACCAACTGAAACCTACTTACTTATATAAATAATAAAGTAGCTGTTGATATCAAGAAGATAGATGGAATTGGTTTCAAAAATAAATTAGATTTATTCAATTTAGTAATAAAAATATTTAATTATACTAGAATTATAAATACCTTGTTTTTTATAATTGGTTTAGTATTTATACATGCCTCTATATATATATACATAAATTAGAATATATATACATCCATTTTGCTTATTATTTCGGAAGCTATTTTAATTCATTAACAACGTAATGAAGGAGTAGGAGTAGAAAGAGGGGAACATATTGAAAATCAAACACTGAACAAATTGTAAAGATATATACGCAAATAAAAAAGAAATTTTTTATATATTTTAGTAACTTATAGAATAAAATAAATTATAATGAAATAATAAAGATAACTTGAACCCGGTCGCTAGCGCTATTGTGTCAAAAATTACAAAAATTATTTTTTCTAGTGTCAAAAAAGTTTTTTATTCAAAAAGAAATTCAGAAAAATCGAAAATTAATTATATTAAACATTATTTACTTTCAAATTTTTTAATAATGAACAGAAAAATATTCGCTAATATACAAAAATACCCTCAAGAAAAGCATTCATTAAAAGACATATAATAACAATTATTGTGAAAATTCATGAGGAATATAAAGGAACGCATACAATAAAATGGAAAAAATGAACAACGGAGTGAACCTTTTAATATAGACAACATTCAAAAAATAGAGTTGAAAAATACATAAAAATAAAACATAAAAATCGAACACCAAAGAGCAATACCAAATCAATATAAAGTACAGAGAATATAAAGAAAGATACAACTAATCTATTTATCTTAAGTGTATCCGGTATATAAGCAGGGCGAATGTGAGAATCATTTGAATTACAGTATATAATACTAGATTGAACTTAAAATACATTTACGTCATATCTAGTTCGAATAGTAAATCTAACATTTATGTATTCATTCCATTCTCACTGCTTTGGGTAAAGTGTAAATTAAGTTTGTCAGGATATTTTTAAAGCGGTGTGTGAATATTGATAATCCCGCAGGCTATAATGAATATCATGCGAATCGATTTAGCAATATTTATTTATCTATCAATTAGTATATCTCTATGATAGCAATTTATACAGAGCTAATTGTAACAGAGCTAATTGTATGAAGCATATATACCATTTGTCAATGTAGATTGATAAATGTAAATGTAGTTGCATATTTAACCAATCTTTGGTGTTATATCTATATAATGTTGGTATTCATTATCTAACAGATATGAATATATAATAATACTTCCCACAAACACACTTTGTAGATGTAGCGTGTATATAAATACATTTATTTGGTTTAATCTGTAACTATACAAAACAACTGTTCAAAATATTTTTTTTTAATCATTTAATTGCATTGAATTTATACTATAAAACTTATTTGTAAATAACCAAAACAACTTAATAAGTACTGTATGTGCAATCAATACAGCTTTCTAGCTAATTTAGGTAAATTGGACTCCCCCTTCACGTACCTATCATCCTAATATTTAATTAATTGGTCTATTACTATATATGAGAAACTAACTTAATTAAAGTATTGTCATAAAAATAATACTAACAATGAATTTAATATCGTAATACATATATGAGGATATATGGTATATAATCAATTTTTAAAAATAATATATATATTCTTTTAATTTTAATTGCTAAGCCCAAAGTGAAACTTATGCAATTCTATACCTACGGCTTGAGCACTGCAATAGACTAATATAATTAGTTTTTTACCATAAAAGTGCTTGTGTAGAAAAAATAACGCCCGCCTTTTATATAAATTATATAAATTACAAGCAAGTTTTATATTTCTAAATGCACATTTTAATAAGTTTTTCGCAATCGCATTGGCCCAAAAATATTTTGCGAAATTTATGATTTTAAAATTATTGCAAACGTTACGCAAATGACACTAAAACCGAAATTCTACTGAACTTCAAGTTTACATCTGAAAAATGTTTGTTAAATATAAATTGCATAATAAAAAGAATTAACATAAATTTGCAAAACACATATAAGCCATATAATTAATGGCTGCAAAGATGCACTTGAAGTTGATGAGAAAATTGAAACGAGCAGTAGAAATAAATTGAAATTATTATAATTAAGCACATTGAAAAAGATGCAACGCAAAAAATTGTGAGAATTTTATAAAAAAAGGAAAAAAACATTTTTAATTAAATACTTAAAGTTTTGCAAAAATCAAAAAACAAATGAAAAAAGAAAAAATTATAATCAAAACCTTTCGACAGTGCCATTTTAAACGTGACAACAGTTCGCTGACAACTAAAATTATTGCAACGAAATCTATTAAGATTACGATGTAAAAAAAAAGCAACTAAAGTTAAATGATTTAGGGAAAGAATATAATGTTAATAATATTTACTATTTATATTTTTTGCTTTAATATTAACAATATCGTATAATAAACTATATAAATGTTTTCTTTTTATTTAAAGGAAATAGCTTTACTCTTCCTTGCTGGTGCTCTATCATTGGTTGTTGCAGCTCCACAACGTGCTGATGAACCAATTGCTATTGTGGCACAGGAATCGAATATCGAACCAGATGGTTCGTACAGTTACAGGTAAATAAGAAAATCTATCAAAAAGAAACTATTAGATATGCATAATGAATTTGAACGATATTTCTTAAGCTAATCATAGCGAAGAAGTTTTTTGTGAATGAAATATGAAACATAAAGTATAGCATGCTTTTAGTCAAATTTTTAATATACTGCAGACACTGCATAGAAAAGACTTAAGACACAAACGTGCAATAATATTTTTAGGCTTTAATGAATTTTAAACAATTTATTAAAATCATAACTAGAATTTTATATTTGAAATATATTTCTTATATATGTAATATTAAACATAAACATAAATAAAATAAATATAAGGAAAGCTTAATTTCTTTACATGAAAATTGTTAAATTTTTTTACAAAGAAAAATAGTTTAAAAAAGAATTAATTGTGCTCCCTATTGTGCTCCCTTCTGGATTTGGAGTAAGTCTCTAAGCCTTGTTGCGTCAATAAAAAATAGTATAGAATATACTTTACAGAGTTTTATTGCGTCTTCCATAAGAATATACATTCCCAGGAGCCTATTCCGCATGTGCATTATAGTAGGGCATTCTAACAGCACATGTGTGGCCCACTCCTCATTCTCTTCACAGAATTTACAGTATGTAAAGGTGCAAACTAATCTTGGTATAGTAGAACAAAGAACCCTCACTGTGCAGACAATCGTTGCAGTAAAGACCAGATTGTTCCTCATATCAGACACGTTTGAATGCTTTCACCCATTTATCGTTCTCTTAACTAAGGAAGCAAAGGAAAACTTATTCATTCATTTTGGCATCACAGTCCAGTATGGACCATTGCCTCCTCTACAATACGCCTCCATTCTTCTCTGCATTTCGCTTTCTATCTGTGTTGTATTATTTATTAGTAATTAAAATATTAACAAACTACTTCTACCTCTAAAAACATAGAAGATAGACAAATTTTTTTTTTAAGATTCTATCTAGGATCAAATGTCAAATCTCTATCAATGATTTAAACTGGCGATATATATAACATTAATAGATAGCATACAAGTAATACTAAGCTAGCCAACTTTATGAGATACTTGTCAGTTCTATTAAAGCGATATTTTGGCAATAGGCAAGTGACCTATTCATGACAATTTACTTTTCCTGTTTCGGATTTTCATTGATTTGTCTGCGGTTATACTAAATAAGTCATAAATAAAAATGAGCACATAAATTTTGTGAGATAAATTATAAAAATAATTGTCCAAATAAAATTAAATGACTATTAATAAATTTTTTGATTAAAATTATCAAAAAAAAAAAACAAATCTGGTTTCATCTGGTGACACTCTGCATAATATTTTTAATTGCAAAGTTTAAACTTTTTGCTAACACTCTGAACACTTAAAAATTTATGAACTATGAACACAATTTATTAGAATAAAGTAAAGTTTTTGATTCTAAAATTTAGTTGTAAAAAAAAAATTAATATATGATAATCTAATACATAATAGATATCTATCGTCCAAACCAAAATCGAAGTCCTTTCAAAGTCTTCATGTGGTAACTTTTCATACCAATATCAATAAAAATTTCTTTAACTATTTCTATTTACGTTTCATTAGCTGCAAAAATTAAAATTAATTAACTCAACAACATTTCAAATGTCAGCGATGAGCAACTCTAACACGCTTCAAATTTATAGACAAAAATTATGCATATATAATATATGCAAATTTCTTAATTAATATTCCGTTTAAAAAATTTAACAAAACTTTTCTGTTTGTTTTTATATTTATTAATAGTGAAAAAGTTCGCGTAAACTTATGTGATCATCCCAAACTAAAGTTTATAAATTAAAAACATATTTTTATGTATCGCATCGATAATATATTCATCATCATTTTGAGCAACATAAACTTTTATTTAGTAACGGTTTAATCCAATAACTTTAATAGATGAGTAAATCAAAAATTGTCTTCAACTCATAATTAACACCTCTTAATATATGTGGCGCCAACAATATCTTTGACTGAATTCCAGTGTGCAAAGTTATTGCAGCCTGTGTAGCAAGTTATCAAAATAGAAATACACAAATCAACAGACTTGTTTTTTAGAATTACCAAAATTTTTCAAATTTTTTTTTGCTCTTAATGTTATGACAAATTTTTATCAATTTAAACCAAACAAAAAAATAAAAATACATTTTGTTTTAATTTTAGTTATGAAACTGCAAATGGCATCAAAGGTGAGGAGACCGGAACATTAAAGAAAGCAACTTCTGCTGACTCCAATGATGTTATTGTTGCTAAGGGCTCAAATACGTATACCTCACCTGAAGGTATTGTTATCACGCTAAGCTACACAGCTGATGATGTGAACGGCTTCCAACCACAAGGCGATCACTTACCCACACCACCACCAATTCCAGAAGCAATTCAAAAGGCGCTTGCGATATTGGCCACAGCGCAACCACAAACAAAACGTCGCTAAACGAACCCACACGCCGCAAAGAAAGAGGGCTTAAAACGTAAAATCGGCCAATGATTTATTTTATTAAATATAGCACTGCAGGGTGATCATTTACGCACCTTTTTTTATTTCCGATGCAATTGATTTTAAGCAAAGACTTTTTATTATAAATGCATATTCCTAATGTTTTAATACGTTTCTCTATGTGCCACTATATTCCAACACCAGTCCAAGCACACACTATGAGTTTTAGAAAATACAAAAAAAAAATACTCCCAAAAAGCACTGACTGAATGAACCGAGCTAAGCATATTTTAGTATAAAAATAAACTATAAAAATCTTCTAATACTCATATTTTCTACTAACAACAAAATACACAAATATACACTTAAAGTCTTACCTAATAATCACTCTGTAGTTATGTCTTCACTATGATACTCATGCCCAGTCAAAAAATATCACGTATTTCTACTCAAGCCCCCTTTCTCACATCCAATCACAACCGCAAATTGTTCGACCTTCTGGCGTTCTTAACTGAATTTTCAATACACAATTTTAGTCGCCGAACTCTTATTTTAGTTAATATGTGATATCGCTATGTTGAAGTTGCAAGGAGTAAGTTTTAGAACAAAAATTTTATATTATAAAAATGAATTAATAAAGAAAGTTGCAAGTATCGATTTAAAGTACATAATATTAACGATGATTTTGTATATAAATATATATATATATATTGTAAAATATGAAATAAGGATGCAAATAAAGATCGACAGATTCTTTAAAAAAACATGAATAATTATTCTTTTTTGCTATTTATTTATGTGTACCTGCATATATAACCTAGTCACATTAAATATACATAAATCTTCTCATCACTTTATTGAACATTATCTAGATGTCTAGATATAGAAAGGGGTAACAACAAGCAGACTTTCATTCGAGAATATAATTCGCCATATTAACGAGAATACACGTAGTAGTATACAGCATATGATCCTGTTATTATCCAGACTGATGCTCATCTTAATTATTAAACCACTATGATGGCATTATATATGCAGCTGTTCCTTCCGATATAATAACAGTATCGATGAAAAGTGAGATTGTTCTAAGTACACAAAATGTCGCATAGAAATAGTGCGAAATGCTTTGCTTAAATTCAACAATGTATTGAACAGTAACGATCTCAATCTCAAAACTAAAAATCGTATTGTAAAATGCTAAAGACCTTAAAACCAAGAGATATTAATAAGCTTGAATCGTTTCAATTATGTTTCTTTCGAAGAACTCTAAAAATACTGTATTACAAGCAATAAAGTTTCAAGAAAAATTAACTGCGGTCGGGAGCTGTTGGCAGTTACAAACAAAAGGAAAACATCGTATTTGGGACATGTTGTGCAAAATACAAATACAAACTGGTACAGTTCTAGCAATTAATTATTGATAAGCTATTGATTTTCCAAAGAAAGGCGAAGCAAAAATAAGATATTGACTAGGTTCAATTTTTATGGTTTCAAAACATTCGACAAACAATCAGAATAAAAAATGACGTTTTTAGCGCTCTGTTAGCATAGTGTGTGTATCAGAACTACGGCAAACGGGACTTAGATTCAAACAGAGAGCAATATGAGATGGTTAAGAGCTTATAAAACATATCTTTTATGATCAACAATACTCGTTATCGAATTGGCAAATAAGGAAAAAAAAACTTAGAAAATTAATTTGAATATTCCCCCGATAATGATTCTTTTAATTCTTACTTGACCAGTTCATCTTCTACTATATATTCTTATTTCCGAAACTGAAACTAATGAAATGAAGCATTGATTAATTACTGCTTGATTAGTTTTATTTATATATTATAAAAAGACAGAGCGAGATATGCAAATTGAATGTCTGAAAAAATCACAAACCAGTGGTTCTGTAGATTTATTTCTAAAGTCAAGATCCTAATTAACTAACCAGGTTAAATAAATAATCTTACCAGGTGAAATAGTCTCATGTTTTGTGTTTTTGAACTATAGAGATATTAATACTTATTCTATCTTGGGTTTTTTATATTCGAAACTATCCATTCATCTATGCTGCAAAACTCTTTTTCCTTCTCGTATCTCGATGGATAAATTAAGTTTTATATTGATGTTTAGGTATTTATATAACAAAACTATATTTTTTGCTGATTTCTGATATTAAATGAATTATTGTCTTACTCAATTGAGAATTGGTGAAATACTCATGTGCCAAAATTCCCAATTAGCGGGTGGGATTTTATTTAAAAAATTATACATGATATATGTAACATCGCTACAAGTTTTTTTCAATTAAATGACAAATTATATATATGTACGTATTATTAAAAAAAAAAGTCATTTTTGTATTATATGTTATACAAAAAACTTTTAATAAAAAAATATATATTTATCTGAAATATAAAACAATGTTATAAATATAATTCCCATATATATAATATTATTTCCTGTTTAAAATAATCACCAAATTAAAAAAATATATACAATTAAATAAAACAATACTTTATTATAGAAGTGGTTCCAAAATATATAATTTCCTTATTAAAATCATAACTTAATTATACAAACGAGTAGTACATATTATACATAGAGCACCCACAATATTTTATAATCAAGTATTTCAGGTGTGAATTTGCAAATACTCCGATTCCACTAAACTTTAAATTAAATTATTGCAAACGTTTTTTATGTCCCATAAACGTACTTCAGAGCATTGAGAATTTTTTTATATAAGTGTTAACTAAAAATAACAAATCGATATGATGTGACTTTTATGATGATATATTTGTTTTATGCTAATTTAAAAAATATATTTTTTTTGTTTAAATTTATTCTTGCTTATTTGATATAGAAATATGCGGTCTAGTCGGTTTCCACAAATCACCAAAAAATCTTTGCATATCTAGACATATTAAAAATATATACACATATATACTCAGATTCTATATTTTATATAACGTGTGTTAAATTTCACACCCATTTCATACATATTTGGCCATATATGTAGATATGTATATACACATATATGCTTATATACGTAAGAGACGTTTTAAGTTAGTCAATAGTCAAAAATAACTGGAGTGAGGATCATCCAAGAGAATAAAACAAAAATATAAACAAAAATAAAATACATTAAAACAAAAACAAGTTCGTTATTATTTATTAATAAAGAAAAAAAGTAAGATATATATGCAAATAAATATTTTAATTTTTATTAACTTTAAACTTTAGTACAGGAATTTCTGTTATTTTGTCCATGAAGAAAGGGTATAAAAGCTTTCGGTTTGTGCTCGAATTTAATCAGTTGAGTTTTTAACATTCAACGAAATTATAATTAAGCGGTTTTCAATTTTTAATTCAAATTAAAATTTTTTAATTAATTTTGCTAAAATGAAAGTGTTTATTGCTCTATTTAGTTTGGTTCTTTGCACTTTTGCTTATGCCGAAGAAGTGAAATTAATATCACAGGAAACCATGGTGGAATACGACGGAAAATATCATTACCAGTAAGCTAATAATCTAATGCGCTTATGGTTAAATTGATTAACAACTAAAATATAAATAAATATACTAGTTAATAATAGTGTTGATTTCTTTCATAAGAATATTTTAAATTATTGTATTCGATTATACTATAGTGAAAAACTATTCGAATTCAGTAGTGACAGTTGTACTTTTATATTCGAAAATACTGTGAATATCATAAACATATTCATAAACATATTTTACAAATAAAAATATATGACAAAAATCTTATTGTCATATAAAAAATAAAATGTAATTTAAAGTCAGTTATGACGGTGGTAACTATTTCACTTAATAGAAACTATTGTATTTTGTTAGAGAGATTTCGAAAAGTTTTTGTCTTGGGACAGTTGACTAATGAACGCTGACTTTGAGCTTAAAATTTAGTAGGATATGAGTTCAACCCTTGGCACTTGCAATCGCAAAAAATTATTTACGAATAATTAAATACAAAAATTATTTTCAAGATAACTGATTATGGGTATTTGGCAATACTCGAAACAGCTGTATGGTCAGCCAAAAAATCAATTAATTAAAATAATATACAAAGAATTTTTATTGTTGACTTCACTATATTTATCGAAACCTCACTCTTTTCTAAGTTGACTTAATATACAATATGCTTAATATACAACTGCTTAATATTATCTTAACTATTATTGAGAGAACACACACTGACCTTAAAGTCTCTTGTAAATGTAATGTGTGAATAGGGGGTAAATAAAGTATTACGAATTAGATTAATTCTATCTAATCACATTATTCTAACAAAATGAATAATATTATCAGTTTTATGCTTGATATAAATCATAATTCTAAGTGTTTGTGTCTTTACTGTCCTAGTGATTCAAATTCACCTAATATGTGTTCAGGCGCCTTAGTTTCTTCGGAGAATGTTAATTTTACAAAATCTAATTCTTTTATTTTTACAGTTGACTAATGACAATTTAGTTTACCTTAAAACTATAAAATTTGCGTTCACTGCGATTCTTGATTCCTTAATACAAACTCCTATAAATCTATGCACATACAACAATATTGTTAAGGTCCTATCATTGTGTGGAAACCAGCCATTTGACGAATTGATCACCTTGTAAATTTTATTTGATCTCAATACAGCCAGAAATTCATACTGAATTTGTTGTCTCTATCTGAGAGATTTAATATCTGTGAGCAGTCCCATACTAACTTGTAAAGAACTTTATACGAGCTTAATGCTGGAGCATCCGAAATGATTCCACTCATTCCGCACAAATGTAGGTAGTCCGTAATTCTACTTCAAAAATATTTGGATGATTTTGGATAAGCCCTTTCTTTAAGTAGTACATTTTGTAAATCTTATCATGTAAGCGGTATAATAAGGTTTGTTGGATAGGTTTTCTTAATAGGTTCTATAAGACTCTATATGATAGGGTTTTTTAATAAATAAAGCTTATGTATAAACTTTTTGGTCTTCGGTTTCACAGTTCATATATTTCAATTAGAAACATATATCAATTCAATTGTTAGACTGAAAGATTTAATAATATATAGACGCAGTGCTCCGCTTCACCGGGGTCCGCTTTCTACTTTTTTCTAATTTAAAAGTAAAAATATACACTTTACTATTTTAGTGAATTAAATTAATATATTTATTACTTAAAAATATTTTTATTTTATAATACTTTATAAGTTTTATATTAATTTAAATAATTTTTTAAAACATAAAACTTCTCTGAACATTTCAGTTATGAATTGGGTGATGGATCGAAAGCAACGCAAGATGGCGTATTAAAACATGTTGATGCAGATCATGATGGAGAAGCAATTGAAGGCAAATTTGCATACATATCAGATGATGGCAAAGAATATGTTGTCTCCTATACTGCTGATGAAAATGGATACCGACCAGTTGGTGCACATTTACCCACTCCTCCACCAATTCCAGAATCAGTTCTAAAAACTCTTAAATATTTAGAGGAACATCCTTATCATCCACCAGAAAACAAAAAGCACTAAATTTAATAAAAGAAGTAAATGTGATGTTTTAATGTTGTTATAAGCAAGGACTGAATAATTGTTGTGAATAAAAAAAAATATAGTTAATTATGCCATAAAATTAATATTTTGTGATTTCGTAATATTATTGCTAATTGGATTTTTTTTTTTGTTTTTTTTTTGTTTATTTCGAGCAAAGGTGAATAACCTAAAGTTTATTCACCCCTGAAATTTGGTGGTGAAGTAGAAATAGAATTTAGATATTTTAATATTCGTAACATATTTGACTATTAAAAAGCATTTTATTAGTATGTTTTCGTTAGCCGTTATCAATAAAAATAAATTCTTTGTAGTTGTCAGAATATACGCAATTTATTTCCATAATTGGAATGTGCTGAGCATAAATTACTTCATGACTTTCGCTATATAGTTCTCATCGGTTTTCGGAATATATCAAGTAAGTGTTTCTTCTATGCCGTAATAATAATTTATTTGTTTATGGGTTTTTAATAGTTCCACCACTTTTTTGCTTTTTGCTTGGATAAATACGAATAATTGTTTATAAAATTAAAAATGTGTGACCGTGGAAAAATAATATTAATTCATTATTATAAATTTCTCTTTGAATAAATATTAAATAAAATATATACATTCCTCATAGAGTTATATTCATTTGAAATGAGTAAAATAGATTAAATAATGTACGAGGCATTTTAATTCAAATCAATATGAATGTTTTGATTATTCTTAATGATGTATTTGGAGATATGTTTTATTATACATTTATCTGTATGTATAATATATTAACATTTTTGTGAAAATATATGCACATTAGGACAAATCACATCCTCAGGGTCTTCAAGATTAATTCGGTCAAAAAATACATAAAGGATTAAGCCCTGAAATTGTTTACGAAACCGGACAGGCTTACCAAAACCGCGTTATTGAATCTCAGAATGGTTACAGGCTCCTCGGGGAGGTATGCAGATCTGAGGTCAATTATTGCTTAGTCTGATGAAGTGATAAACAATAATCCAATCAAGCCGTAGAGAGAGGATTTGAAGAAACATCGCAGTTAATAGAGAGTAAAAGTTGACAGAAAAGCACTGACTCAACTAGCTTCAACATGTACCTAAATTGTATCTAAATATACCTACCTAAATACATATACTCTTAATCCGGCTCTTGGCAGGAAATTTACTTCGGGGTTTTACAGATAATTTAAAAAAATTTTTTTTATATAATTTAATATTATAAATTAAATAGTCATGCTGCATTTATATTGAATATGTACGTGTACAATTATAAAGTTCATTTTTTTAACCCATCAAGCCAACCCCCCGATATAAAGTAAATATTTGAATTAATAGCAACTCCAGTATCTAACGATAATATTCGTTAGTTTTAAACGTATTTTTTTTTATTATGAAATAGATTAAACTATTTTAAAATTCATTAAAACTTTAATTTGCATATTTCAATGGTTCAATTTTTATTTACACATGCAAACCAAATAAAAGCACAAAAATTACACAAAATTAAATGTGTTAATTGATTTATTGGTTTCGTTGGTAAATATTCTGAACTTTTAAATCAGGCATCGTGGATCAGCCGTATTTGTTTAGATAGTGGCATAAAAGTGAATTTCAATCTAACAAAATATTTAGTATTTGCATTTTTGTTGTACAAAATAATTAGCAACAACGTTTTTTCATTTAATATAATTTTTTTTTATGTATATAAAGTGTGGAAATCGAAAGTGTTTTAGAATAACAACAAAGTATTAGGCACCCTTATAAAGAAATAAAAAAATATATATACAATAGTATTTACAAGTAGATCAGGTACAGTTTAATTACTTACTAAAAAAATATATAATATACTTTGTTCTTAGTACTATTACTTTTTTTAAAGTATTAGACACGAAAACTTTTAATAGAGTAATAGGTATCAATAATTTTTTTTTTTAAATAAAACTCTGGTATGAAGTTGTGATTGTTTTATTAACACTAATAATAAGACATTATTATAAACACATAACCGGAGTAAAGTGGCTGAGAGTGCATAAGGTATAATCTCTTCGACTTTAATGTCAACTTTCATCCTCCTCATTGCACTTTTGTTTACATATAGTATATGTCTGGACCGAGTTAATAGCGGAATAACTAAGTCAACATATTACTGAATATCAGAATATATATATAAGTTATATAATATAACTTCAGTAAAGGCAAAATATATAGCAAATTTGGAAATTACATATCAACAATATTACTTTAAAGGGTGCAAACTTACCACCAGACTATTGATCAAACGGCAATAACTTCGGATCACAAACTACGGAACTACGGAATATAAAAGGAAATAACAAGTTTTAGACAATCAATCAAAATTTATTTTGTCTCCTTACAAAGGGCTCTATTGACTATGCCACTGCTTGACCCGATTCTTCACATATTATTTTTGACTGATTTAGAACCACCTTACACCGAATGTAAATCTTAGTTAAGGGAACTGGAACATGTTACACAAGGCCATTTCACAGAATCACGACGAAATCTATATGAACAGGTATGTATGTATTAGAATGAATGTATGTATTAGGTCAAGGGATGTCTTGTTTATTTTTAACAGCCAAAAGAGACTTAAATAACATATTTACTAAAACTAATAATTCTTTCATATTTGACAACCAGATAAATCTCAGTATTGTTATAACTGGATCGTACAACTTTGTTGAAAAGGCTTTTAGACCCACATGAATCAGTCCGAATTTACTATTTTCTATATTGAATAGACCATTTATAGACCATTTAGATAGGATTAATTATAATTTTATACGAGTCATTTAGTGGCAATAGTTACGACTGTTTAATAAATATATGTACATATATATATGTCCACGTATTCTTCACTAGCCATGAATGAATGTTACTACTAAATTTCAAGCTTACTTAACACGCTAATTTTTTAGAAAAACAAAGGAAATCTTCAGAAATTTAATCAGAGTTAATACAATTTTTTTCGACTTTGCAAAATTGTGCAAAAATTACAATTGAACATTAAAATTAATTTGCAAATTCAGTTAAAATTCAGTTTGTTTACTTAAAAATTTGTATATATTTACTTATTTAAATTGCAAATAATTCGCTAGAATTCAAGGAAGCAACAATCTTAAAACTGCAATATAAACCACAAATGATCACTTACACGAGTATCGCACCACCCTAAATCAAAGCAGCAAATAAGCCCGAGCACGTATCTATGTGAAATACGAGAAGATAACGAAACTCATATAAGTGGCGGCTTGAGGTTAACTACAGAAAGTATATAGTATCTGTATGTCTCACCTGTCTTCTGCGTAAGTGCTTGCTCATCACAATGCGATGATCATTAATTCATACACAAAAACTAAAGTACAATAAAAATAAAAATAAAATCAAAATATAACTGAAAGATAATTTCAAAAAATGAGTAAATTTTGCACATGTTACTTATTATATTTTGAAGTTACTCTTTTGTCATTTTTTTAGCTGTACAGAGCTGTACAGAGCTTTACTTAGATACTCTTATCTAGCGCGCCCATCTTTCCCTTGATATCATTCATACACACGCACAAAATGTACACCACAAAATAAAACGACTTAGTGTCTCTAGTCCGTGCATCTGCCTATTTTTCTGTCGAATCTTTCTTCTTCAACGCACAAATGAGCATATAAAAGACCCGCCTGACATTCAGATGACAACAGTTCGGAATAAATGTTTAAGTGAAGTGGATTACACAAACGATTTTCGATTATTTCATTCTAGATATATTTAAATACAATTAATAAATAATTATTGTGTTAATATTTGAAGTGTGAACAGTGATAAAAAGATATATACAATATGTATAAGCTTGGTACAGTGATTTTATGCGCCGTTTTCTTCGCATTTGTAATTGCACGTCCTGCGCAGGAACAAGCATCCACATCAACGACGCCTGCTACAATCATTAATCAAGTGGATGTGAACAATCCGGATGGCAGTTATAATAGCAGGTGAAGAAATGGAAAAAAAATTTAAAATATAAAAACGATAATTTTTAATTCAAATATATCGATAATAATAATAGTCGATAATAATTTTTGAAAATGGTGAACATTTTCTAGATATGGAAAAAATTTTGTTGGCATATCTACCTTCACACTTTATGTCCAGGCCCAGATACTAGTATCTTGGTTTTCTTAGTCTAAAACTCTTAAGTTTTAGAAAAATATTTAATAATATATAATATAAATTTTAGATATTCATATCTATAATATCTATATTATTTATAGATGTTATAGGTATTACTATAACAAGTAATAAATAGGAATAAATAGGAGCGACCATGATTGAACTTTTGTGCTGTTAAAGTTCGAAATTAGTAGTTCTGTTTAAATAAGTTTTTACTAAATTAAATAAATGCGAAAATATTACCAACATCACTTATCGATACAGCCCAAAATGAGATTCGGCTTCCGTTACAGTTTTGTTCAAATCTCAATACAGACCAGTATGGGATTTTCCGTCCTTTACAGTCTTGTTCCATACTCCTTTACCTCTGACAAGGGCTTTACAGTTTATTTTCCCAAGAAATTAAATCAATAAAATATCATTTATTGATATAATAAAGAAGTCACACTTTTTATTGCCCACTATGCATTGTGGGTAAAGTAAGCTATACTTAAACATTTTATCTAGGTGTAAGCTTACATGTATTCCCATAATCTGTGCTTTTCATCTTAATCTCTGTGATTTGGTATACAATATAAAGTGAGAGTATATTTAAATAAACTTAATATTATTCTATTAGTTATATTGTTTGTTGTACTTCTATAATAACTTATAATACGATGTGATTATTTTCATTGAAATATATCTTAAACCTTATAATACTGGATATCACTGTTAGAAAATATTTAACTCATTAAAGGAAATTTAAATAATAATTTCGTATTATTATTTTTAGTATTATTCTGTTTACAATAAAACTGCTTAAGAATTTTATTTTTTTATTTCAATAATAAATTTCAACCAAAATATATATATATATATTTGTATGTCAACCAAAATTAGAAACCTATTAAGTAACCAGACGTTCTGACTATTATATGACAGGTTCACTGTCTTCTGCTAATTAAGAGTTAGTTGTAGCATAAAGACCTACTCAGTTCATAATACTCTGTTCTACATTTTCACAGTGCACATCTAAGTCCATCCTAATATTATATGTACATTGATAGCATGGTAACTAAATAGCATTAATTCATTAAACGTATTAATGTTCCTCAACTTGTACATCAAATTAATATTATAAAAATAAATTACGAACCAAAAGTTGAACTTATAGTTCTTTCTCAAACTACGCTTCATATCCAAAAAATCGTTATTATATTAGTAATCTATTATACTCTTATTATCTCTTAAACACTTAACATTTTATTTGATTAAAATATTTAATATACTACATATTCGAATTCATTATAGTTATGAGACGTCTAATGGAATCAAAGTAGAAAATATTGGCTACATGAAAAAAATTCTAGTACCAAAATCTGAAACCGCTGATGGTCAAGTGCTTGAAGAACATGAAGAATTAATTTTAGTGCAGTCAGGATCATATTCATACATGGATCCAGAAGGAAATATAATAACACTGCGTTATGTGGCAGATGAGAATGGTTTCCAACCAGAAGGAGATCACTTACCAGTCGCGCCCCAATAAAATAAAATTAATGAAAATGTTGACTAAATAGTTTGGCCGGTACCCAAACGACTTAAATTACTTAAAACTGTAAAAAATATTCCATTTGTAAATGGTTTTAGTATTAATAATAAGTTTTAAATAAAAATGAATTTTATTCATTTAAATTAAAACGGTTAAGTATTAAAAAATTAAATTAAAAATTCTTTCCAATTTAAATTTGCTGCCATTGAAAATTTGTTTTCGCTTTAGTATTCTAATTATTAGATATTTTTAAGTTTATGTTAAAAATGTAAAATAATAAAATAAAAATGTATCACATTAAATTAATTAAAAAGTTAAAGAGATATCTTTTATTATTATTTTTATCGTTTATTTCTTATAGCTATCTCTTATCGTTAACACTCCTTACAGATTTGGTAATAAATTCGCAAACTATAATTTTATCACGTACTTTGCAAAGTTTTTTTAAAAATAGAAAAATAGAATAAAAAAATGTTTAAAATTTTGGAAAATCAAATGATGAATCAAATGAACTTTATAACACAGAAAACTTCGCTCTCTGATCTTTATAATTTCGAAAATATCAAGGATAGGAATTCATGATACATTCAATTATATGTCATGTATCGTTTTTATAAATGGAGTGTATCAGCAATTAATAAATTAATATTAATAAATTAATGATAATAATAATAAAGAAAAGAACAATGTACTTATAAAAGTAATTAAAATGAATTAATAATTTTTAATAATTAAAAATAAATATGTATAATATCAATAAAATAATATAATTAATTCAAATTAATTAAAATAACAATTAATAAATGATAATGAAAATAAAAAACAATATAAACATAAACGTAGTTAAAATAAATGTACAACTCTTAATAATAAAAATAATAATAATAATAAAAACGGACTAATTGATCAATAGTTTTTTTTAAGAGGGTATTATTTTACTATTGACGAATTAACTCGTTTTAAAAACAAAACTATTATTAAACAATGTTGGCGAAAACCATAAATTAAAAAAAATAATTATCATAATTATAGATATATATAATATCAATAAAAAAAATAATTATTAATAAATGATAATATTCGTAATAATAAATTAAACAAAATTATAATAAGTAATTGTAATAAATAATAGTAATAATAATTAAAAAATGGTACTAACAAACAATATTATGATAAAAAATGAGAAAACCGAATAATAATTAATAACAAGTAAAAATATAACGTCAATAAAATATTTTTTATTATATTTTTAATAATTTTTAATTCATAAAAATAAAATTTATTGGATGCAATTCGTTGTTCTCTATTGAAAAAAAAAACTTTTCATATAGACAAAATATTCTGTTTTATTTATTTTCAAGCATTTAAATATGTTTTTAAATAAATTCATAAAATATAAAAACTTTTTATATAGACAAAATATTTTGTTTTATTTATTTCTAAGCATTTATTTCTAAGCATAATTTATTTAATTTTGAACATTATGGAAGCTCAAGTACTTGCTCTCTCCACTACTCTGTACTATTTGATAATAAAAGTATGATCTTTATTATGTCGTATGAGTTGCGATATATCATACTTCTTTGAAATTCCTTTTATTGATCTGAACTATAGTACGATATTAATCTAATGTTTTTTACAGTCCCATAAACATATGCAAATTTAAATTCTCTAATAATAAATACATTAAATACAATACCAACACCATTTGAGATCTGGTTGTGGTTAAATTTCCACCACATAATTATTTAAAAAAATGTTTTGATCCAAAAAATAATGTTGTTGTTTATATTTCTGTTTGGGTAGATAGATTTTGAAGTATTGAATTAACATGAACTCATTGCTCACACTTAAAGTCTTTTGTATCCACCGCAGGGCATATCATAACCCATATTTATTTTCCTCACCGCAATTGAGTTTTTATTGCATTTAAATATGCATAAATGCTACTTGAAATTTGTTTTTTCCCCACTTAAAGCATTTATTTATTTGCTATATGTTTATTTATTTATTTAATTTATTTTAATTTGTTGTAAGTTTCAAGTTTGAGCACTTGTTTTCAGAAGGTCGAGTGCTTATTTGTTGACATAAGTCATCATCGGTAACAACACGGTTCGACGTGAGCATCACTTTTGGCGTTTGGTGATAAAATCAGTGAAAGTCTTTACAGCCATTTCAGGTGTTCAGGTGTTGATGAAGGTCAAGAAATCATTTGATAAATAAACAAAATTGATTCTGATTTGAAATAATTTAGAATTTTGATTTTTAAGAACTGAACTGACTAAATAACTAAACTTAAGAGTATTATTTTCCGTCGATAAGTGGTTAAAAAACATTTGACAACAGCCTTGGATTTTAATATAAAATTATATTTATTATTATTAATAACTATTTAAGATATTATTTTTTTCAATTCTTTTTTCTTATTTTTTTATTGTTACTCATATTTTCAGCATTTATCACTTCAAAAATTCTTATTATCAAAAGTTTCTCATTTACTAAACATCCGGTAATAGTCCGATTTGACAAGTATTTTCCTTACAAATACAATATATCTATGAATTAACTTTAGAATAAGACCAAGTTTATTGATATTTTGATACATATCTTCTTTAGGCAAGTGATCCGGTAAATCTTGTTTAAAGTAAGAATATAACAAGGTAATTAATTCATATGAAAAATTATTTATATTATATATATATATATATATATTTATATGTACTCTGAAATTAGATTTCTTAGAAATCATGCATGCATTGAATGCTCTGTATTAGTACTTATTATTCTAATTAGATGATAATTAGAAAATATCTAATGTTTATAATTCCATTTTATATTCTTGTTTATTAGAAATAGTCTTATAATAAACATTCAATGGATTTTTAGAAACATTTTTTACTCTCGATCTCAGTTGTCATTAATATATCTAACAAACCTTTTTAATTGACCGATATGGTATCGAAGTAATTTCCTTTCTTTATCAATTTTAATTTGAGTTTAGGAACAGTCAGAAGCCGCTCAGAGCCACCTGAAATGAATACTGTGAAAGATCGATAAGTATTATGCTTTATTTTGTCAAGAATTCAATTACCATATTGACTATGTTTGATGGTGCATTATCATGTAATAAAAACCAACGCTAGTTCGCAGAAACTCATCGAAGTGCAACTACTAGCTCTCAGTAGTTGTAAACCTCTCAGATGACATTCTGAACTCAAAGTGATCTGAATTGAATTCATCATCATCTTAATTCGTGACTATACAGTCCATGTAGTCTCCAAGTCTGCTTAACAACATCCTTCCATTCTTCTCTGCTGCTCTTCTGGTCTTCTTGAAGCCTAATATATACGTTTTTGCTTTTTCTGCTATCATGCTATATTTAGACTATTTATTTCTGACTCGTATTGAAAACACCACGTTTCATCAATGGTCTTGATGGATCCCTTCAAAATATTTTTAATCTACGTGTCTTTCCAGTCTGTTTAGTCGTCCATTAAAATGTGTGGCACAAAACATTAGCAGATCATTTGCTCAAACTTTGGTAGAAATTTCATAAACTACACTTTATGTAAAAGTATATCATTTTCCTCTGATACCACTTAAAAAAAATTATTTGAAATTGTTGACATTTTGTGTTGTAAGTCTTTTTCGTGTCCTCATGACTATTATGAAACTAAACCTTCCAAAAACCTGTATGCGAAACATTCATTTCATATGAATCTGCGTCACTATTTTTGAATTTAAAATTCAAGTTAATATTCTCCCTATATTTTTTTTTTATTTTTGACCGTAATCCACAGAGTGACATGTCAGTGTAAAGTGTAAATGAAACTTGTCCGAAATATTAACAGTAAGTAGTTAAAGCTTACATCATTTATCTATTATTACTCTTTTATAAATGTCGAAACTCTAAGAATTTTTAGCTAAGACAGACTAATAGTGTTATCCATGTGTAAATCTGGATTCTATATAGATTCACTCTCGATCTGTCAAATTTTCTTGTCCAATCCAACATTTTATGTTTTTAGTCGTGTTACTAAATATTCACATTATTTACAAATAAATATATATCGAATGAAATCACAGCTTATCTGTCAAATCATATAAAACAGCTGTTAATTTCAGTGTAATCTTGCTACTTTGGTAAAAGATCTAGAGTGTTATAAATTAATCGCGAGTGTTATACAGATTTACCAGTCCCAGATTTGTCCAATCGAAAACGTCATAAATATGTACCGATATTATCTTTTGGTCTATTGCTTTCATTCTATTATCTTTTCTGTTACTGCTATTTATATATTGCATGTCAATGCATTATTATTAAACTTTAGCTGAATTTTGCTCGAATGTTTCGCTGGAATGCCTACCACAATCAATAACGAACCCTAACTAGTTTATAACTAATTATATGCTAAAAATAATGACAGTTAAAAATATTTGTAACAAAATTGTTTATCATCTTTTTCTAACACCTAAAAGTAGACAATAGTATTTGCTCACTTTTAAATATGGATCATTTTGATTGTTTTTATTATATGAAGAATTTTATTAACTTATATATGTGCAAATTAAAGGTAATGAACTTCTACGGAGAAAAAATGATTACGCAACTATTAGAATCAAATTATTTATTCATTCTTTCTCTCAAGAAAGCCAATAAAATTGTTGCTGATACAATAAAAAGTACGACGACCGGCTACGCGAACAGAAAAAAAGAACGAACCGTCCAAAAATTTAGAAAAGATTATACATTTTTTGGTGTCTGTTGGCAGGTGACATTTCACTTGTTTCAGACCGGATTATGTGCTTTATTATTTAATGTACCCACACATCTGAGTTGGATACTCGTATGTTGAGAAGTAGCATTTTTATGGCGGCACGTGATGTGATTTTCAACGGACTCAACGGTAGATTTCAAGTCACTAGGCTAGTAACGATTTGAGTGGTATTACGCGGCATTTAAGCCGTTTAAAAGTAAAAATAATTTTATTCATTTATGCCGGTAAAAAAGAAGACAATCTGAATAAATGCCACAATGACTTTTACAGCAATGGTGGGAATTGCGTGATGTCGAGCAAAAAATCTTATTTTCCGATTGTACATTATTTT